TTAAAAACTATCGAATACATCGCGACGTTGTAAGGTTCGTGAGGCAAAAGTCGAGAAAGTGAGGCAAAAACAACATTTGGTAAACATACTAGTTTAAATTTTAAAAGTATAGGTATGTTTTGTAAATTTAAGTTGGTGAGCCTATTAGTGCAATCACTTAAAGGACCAGTTTGGATAAGTCTTTTGACAGGCTTTTCTGCAACAGATCAGGCAATCAGGGAAGCGCGAACTTTTTTGGCGCAAAACGTGAGCGAGTCGATTTGGAATAAAGGAAATCATTTATCCAGTGTACCCGCTCATGTTTGGCGCGAAAAAAGTTCAACAACCAAAACGAAAAAATCTTTGCGACAAAAGAAGTTATCCGGACTGGTCCTTTAAAGTTTGTGCTCAAACTTGTTACAGTGAAATTCTTGTCTAACAAGACCCTCTTAAACTAAAACCCCTTATTACTAGACCTGTAAAGAAGCCAGGATCAATTTTTTGGCCCGGTCTCTTTTAAGTTTCCTTAGCTTGGCCTCAGAACTCTTCCATTTTACTAAAACTTTAAATTTTAAAATAACCGTACGCTAAAAATAGACAAAAAAAGAAACTTAAAGTCAACAAAGTTCTAACAAGCTTAACTCGATCTTTAAGCCATCGCAAATTCAAATAAGCATGTAAAACGTTGTAAAGCCGCGGGAAACTCAATTGGTTCAATATGTCGTCTTAAAAGGTTTTTTCTTAATTTAAAGTATTTGCGATTGTGTAGGCTATGTAAGGCATTTATAAAAAACATTTTTTGTTTCATTTTTAAAAGAAATTACGTTGGCACTTAAAGGGCTAGTCTGAAGTGCTATCATAACCAAAACATAACAATATCCAGGAAATTCTTGATAGAAATTCTATGACAAAAAGGGCTCAGAAAGCTGTCATTATAAAGAGAACGTTTTATTAAGAAATTTTACGGTTTAACTTCTCCTGTATAACAAAACTCCTTCGTAACAAACAAAAATACTAGGTTGTTCAAAAGCTCTAAGCCAAAAATTTTTTTTTCAAAAATTAAACCAAGAAAACGGATGAAATAATATTATTAGGTGTCGACATAAAGAACACGCCATTTTTTACAAGAAATTATAGGCAAAGTAAGGCGGGTTCTTTATGTCGGCACTTATATAAAACAATTCATAGTGAAAGTATGGATAATTCCAAAAAATAGTTTTTAAAAAATCTGTCAAAAATTAAATTTTTTTCTTAACCGTTTAGTTCAAAACTTTCGACACAATCTAATAAAAATCCACACGATTCGCGTTATACAGAAGTTTCAATATAGTAAAAAATGAAAAAGTTTGTGTTAAAACAAAAAAAACTATTGTGCTAACGTAAAATGTATAATAAGTTACCAAAAATTTAAATTTTTGTATTATAATTGCTGCAACAAAACCAAATAGGTTTACAAGTAGTGATTAAATAGCGTGCTAATTAATTTAAAACACCTATAAATGAGCTAATGCGCTTCTTTTCTGTCAAACGCATTGTCAAGACTGTAAAACAATCAACTCTGCTCTCCTGGAACAAATCCGAGATTTAAACCTTTTTTGATGTAAACCATAGAGCTAAACTTTAAAAAGTTACCTAATAAAAAAAGACCAAAGATTACCTTATGACATTGTAAAATACAATATTACGTTTGTAAAAGCCAAATCGCCAAAAGTAAAGTAAAAAAATTTCAACTTTAATCTACAATAGCATATACTAACAACTTATCAATGAAATAATCAAAGATAACACTCTAAAAGATAGCAACTCAAAGAGTAAATATAAAGTTACCGAGTAACCTCAAAAACTTGGTTATGACCGAATTACCGAAGCGTACAAAAACCTTATAATAACATCCCTTTCTTTGTCTGTTAACAATGGTCGTACAAAACGCCTCGAGAGTGACATCCAGCTGAGATTTGAATAACGGGTTACCAAATATTATGTTAGTTATATATTTAAAATTGTGAAATTAAAATTTTTTTTAAACTTTAGTTACTGTGTTTAATCGTAATACAAATTAAATATCGTCATAAACGAATGATCGATAAAAGTAAGTAAGTTGCTATCAAGAGTATAGTCACAAACAAAGCTACCAAAATTAAAAGTTAGTTTAGGTTGAGGAAAAAATAAGATCAGTATAAGACATCTTGCACACAAAGGTAAATATTGCAACAAACGCAACAATACATATATAAAAATCTATTAAAAAGCTTTAATGTAATATTCATGTAATATACTCGTTTATACGCATATAAAAGTAAAGCAATATATAATACATTTGATAACAGGGTTTTATAATATATAGTAAAGCTGGTGTAATGTGAAGTAGATCAAAAGGTAATAGTATATAATAACACAATGCTAATAAACATTAATATAAGCGAAGAGTCTACAAAACCGTATTAAAATGTTCAAACCCTTAAAATAGGGCTGTACCCTTTGTACGGGGAATTACCTATGTCAAGATTGCACATATGAGGGTATCTGGAGATTTGGAAGTTATGACTTCGTAACATAACTTTGTTGCAAGTGGTTATACACTGAAAAAGATATTTTGACAAAGGAATGCACAGTGCTAGAAATAGTAATACTGTAGAACTGATAGATAACGAATAGCTCGAAGGTTTAAAAGTTTTGTTTATGAATGAGTTAAGGTAAATATTATACTGTATGTTAGAAATCTTGTTGTTTTACAATTAAATTTTACAAAAAGTATCTTTTTTATACATAATACTATTTTAAAACCCACCGCGTTTGTGTAATTCACATGGCAGTAAGCCAGTTCGTGAAGTCTTTCCTTCAAATTCAATGAAGGCGTGTGTTCCAAATCTATGCATCGGCGGTGGCAAGGGCTGTCTTTTGGGTATACAATATCACAACATTCAAGAGCTGAAAGTAGTATAGTATTTGTATTACAGTAAAATCTTTAAAGTATACTCAAAAGACTGTTTAAAGTGCTATTATAACCAAACTGTTTATTGACAAGAGTTATATTACAAGAAGCGGTTAAAAAGCTGTCATTATAAAGAGAGTGTTTTACTATAGAGTCATAGTAAAAATCCTTCACTGTGTTTAGAAATGTAATTGTAATAACGAAAAAACTATGTATTAGACCTGTACAAAGGCCGAGCCAAGCTCAATTTTTTCTTCAACAGGCCTAGCCGGGAGCCAGACCGGCCCTAGTCCCTTTCAAGTCTATTGTTTACAATATCTATCATACAAATAAAAAAAAAGAAGTTATTACGCTAAAAAATCTGATTTACTAAGCTTACACATGGACAAAGCTCTTTCACCGACAGACCGACGGAAGCAGCTAACGCTTTTGTAGTTGTCTTCTTGAGTTGAGCAGTTGATTGCCGAAAACGTTCTTATCCGGTCTCTACAACATTCAACTTCATCACGACAACAGAGATCGGTCATTTCCAGTAGTGTCGTGACATGATCTGAAAGGTTATTAAAGTTTGTATTACGATAGATAAAACTCTTATATAACAAACTCCTCTGTAACAAAAGTTCCGTATAGCGAAAAACTTCTAAACTACAGTACTTACTTGACTCTGCCAATTGAGCTACAGTGATTAAAAACAAAAAATTCAACATCATTTTGTAAATCATAGATTCAGAATGATCTTTTTTTATAGCTGACATTAAAAGGCATTGAATTTGTCAGCACATAATGTAGCCCTCCTCTAAGACGAGTAGTCTACCCCTAAGACCACACACTTGGCCGGAAATGACAACCGGATGCCTTTGCATACGGTGGTCCGTCTTTGTCATTCAAAGTATATACTGTAAGAAAAACGTGAGCCAATTGGAGGGTCATTTTGTTTTGTCTAACGGAAGGAGGAGGGGCCGAAGCAGAAAAGGTGGCTTTTCTACGTCTTGGATTTTTATGTTGTTGTAGACGTCTAGGGCATAAAAATTCCAAATAAATTTTAAAAGTTTATAAGATAGGCAAGTCGGTGAGATTTCGTCCGATAAATGGTTTTTTGAAAGGGGAGGCGGGTAAAAAACTAACTATAAGATGAGGGGCCAAAACTGGATGCCTTCAGTATATTCTTTGCTGATTTTTTTGTAAATCATTATTTTTTTTACCTTATTTTTCATAAATCAAACGTTAACTATTACCTAACTATTAATTTTTTAACTAACAAGCAAAAGTGCTCCACCTGCCCCGCCATGATTGACTTAAAACTTTTTATGTTGAAAGGTCTTGTAAAATAAATAAGATACACAAAGTACCAAATTTTAAAAAATCGATGGAAAATCGAAATCTTTTGAATTTTCAGCCAAGTTGTCATAGTGCTTTTAGCTTAAATTTTGTAATTTTTTGACTTTTAATCACTTGTCTTTGACATACTATTAGAAAAACTTTAAATTAAAATAAATTTTTTAATTGTCAGCCTAGCTTTTTTATAGCTTCTGGAAAGTCGAATAAAGTGGTTTTTAACACAATTTTAAACTTAGACAAAATTTTTTGGGAACTATTAGTGGTACAAAGGATTTAAGTAAAAAATTATGAGTTGATTATGGGTGGGGCAAATTGAGTGATTTCCCTGTAAAAAAAAATAAAAAAAAATTTCAAAGTAATTTCAAAAAAGCATTTATTGATGCAAATATTAAGAATAAGAGTAAGTTACAAAATTAAAAAAATATAGAAATATCACAATTTTCACCGTGTTTGAGATTGACAAGACTGTTGAATACAAAAGCTAAAAACATTGAAAGAATATTAACAGTAGTGAAAGACAATGGCACTGACACTATTTACAAACATGAGCTATACAACAACCCGATATAAGTGTAGTATGGACAAATTGGTACTATTAAAAAATTTTTTCAAAAAAACTAGTACTATTTTTTCAAATGGTACTTTTTTAAAAAAAATAGTACTTTTTCAAAAAATGGTACTTTTAAAAAAATAAAAAAAGACTGGCAAGTTTTTAAAACAAATTTATATACATTACCAATATTAAGACATCTTACAAATCTTCTTTCCAAGCCCCTCTGTAATTGGGTCCATCGACCAGCTCGCAGTCCATAAGTTGAGATGGCTCCTTGACTTGATCGAAGGCTTTTCGAGGCACCGACTTCATGCCATCTGAAGAGTCACACAAGACTCGTGCCATTGTGACACGACGGATCTGTTTGATCTGTTCTGGACGCATTATCTCTTCGTTTTCCCAGTAGAACCTACAATTATATTTTTTCAAATTTGAACTTGAATTTGTGTTTTTATATTTTTAAATTCTTTAAAACCTTACCGATCCCCATCCCTCAAGTTTTTGAACTGTTTCCCGATGACACAACCAAGGGTAGGTCCAACCAAAGCCTCAGGCATCGGGTCTTCCAACAATGAGCCTACATACATGTCTATCAGTCTCACGTCTTTGTACAAAGTCTCCAGATTCTGACGAACGATCGAGTTCGAGATGGTTGTGTTAAGGTCATCGAACGAGTGAACCTCAGGCATTCCACAGAACTTTCTCCACTCAACGTAGCCTGGAATACCGTGATCACGTCCTCGTTGAATGTTGATGGATCCCAGGTCAGAGTTGCCAAAAATTCGCTCCGTGACGGCTGGGGTAAGTCGTTGAGGCATTTTTGAAGGTAATGTCATCAAACCTGGAATTTTGCTTTAGGTATTGTATTAAAAAAACTAAATTTCATTTTAAAAATACAAAATCTATCTTTAAACTTCATTTCAAATTTAATTTTTAAAAATTTTAAAAGCACTTTCAACATCTCACCTCTGACCAAAGGATCAATGCCATGATTGATAATGTGAATACTCTTGAACATGCCCTCGTTGAACGGAATACCTCCAACTTGATCGTAGCTTTCGTCTAAGAACGGGTAGAACTCCTGAATCATACCGTGCCCAAAACGGAAAGCACATCCAGTGAACTCGTTGTTAATTTCAGGAGTCACCTTTGGATTGTAGCCTTCGTACTTGCCAATCAACTTCTTGAATCCTGTTTTTCCCAAAACTCTTGGCAAGTATTCGTCGTAAGTGATCTTCTGTATCAACGATGATACGATACGACGAGTTTCATGGAAGATACGGTCCTGATCCCAATGTTCGTTGAGGTTTTGGAGAATAGTGGCTACACGGTTGTGTTCTCTAACCCACAAAGTGTGAAGAGCGGCCAAACCAACAAAAATATTGGCACGGTCATCACCCGCAATGATGTTCTGAGCACCATCCACTGGTGGAAAAACTCGCCCCTTGATAATATTGGTCTTCAAGAATCCACCTTGACGGAAAAGGAACTGATCACGGTTGGAAGAACCGTACACGGCCGACCCATCAATAAAGGCTGTGTTTTCGTTGTACTGTTCACGAAAACGGTCCTGTCCGGTTCCACAAACTGGAGTTGAACGAGCAACTGGTAGACATTGGAAGCGGCCAAAAGTTGGGTCAAATCGACTCAACAAAACGGAGAAACATCGACCGCCTTGTGGAGTACAAGAAGCACATTCTTGGTTGTTCAACATAGTTGTCTTGGCCATGTCATGGGCCATAAACTGGCCCCATTGCATCAAAAGGGCGTTGGATTTTCCGTTAAGTTCGGCGCTAGATGATAACATCAATCTTGAGGCTTCGCGTGAGGTTGGACGTAGTTTGTTTAGAGAGGCTGAAAATGTTATAATAATTAAGTTACTTATTTTATAGTAGAGATAAAAATGATATATTTAATTTTACTACCTTTTTTTAATCGAAATTACCTTGCTCATACCAAAAATAGCCAAAAATCAAAAACTATTCTCAAAAACTAAACTTTTTTTGTTATAAATATAATGATTTACATACTGTAGCTCCATTATATAATACCGTAAGCCCTAACTATTCTTTTGATCTAACCGTCTTTTTTCCGCCTCTTTACTGTCTTACTCACCGGGCTTTTATTGTTTTAATTACCGCGTACTGTTATAAAAAACAAGTTATATAACATTACCAATGGCAATCATTCAAAAACCATCATTTTTCCTATATGTCGCAATTTTATACATTTTTTCTTAAATCCGAAACTCATCCACGCTTTACAATGCGATTAGACCATGTAAATCTTATTGGAATCAAATCGCGCAATTTTACCTGAAGTAACGACACTTAAAAAACCACAGAATATCCTCATAAAACGATTGCTTAAAAAAGCAATATCGATATTCATTTCAATACTCGTTTTTTTGTAAAATACCTGAGCGGGTGGGTCTCAAATTGGTAGTCATTTTTATTTGGATAAAGTCATTGATAAGTTCAAATTGAGATAGGCCTACACATGTTTTTTGAAAAAAAATATTTTTTATTAAAATTAGGGGTAAGAAACGGAATCAAAGTTACTTTAGAGGCCCATGGTTTGAGGTTTAGGCCGGGTCACTTTCATTTTTTCTCAGACCGCTTAACCTTTCAAACAGTACTAGACTTGGCCCGTTTTATAAAATTTTAACTTTAAAAAAAATTGGTTTCGCGTTTTTCTTGTAAATCAAGAAGCATTAATGAAGATAAAAACAAAAAATTTTTTCAATTTTTTAAAATTTTTAACCATGGGCCTACATTTGCAGTCCTCAAGGCCGACAACTTTCTCTCCCCTAATTGAAACTTCCTGATTTTCAACGCTTTTGCAAAAAAAATTTTTTGAGACAGAACGCCAATGTTTTTCAAATGCCTTCCTCTGTTACTATCTAAACCTCACCAAAGTTGAGATAACTTACAGACAGGAGCCGACACTTCATCGTCGTAAATAGGGTCCTTGAAGCGTCGCAGCGGTCGGAAGGCAGCGCCTTTCATTGGCTCGTCCAGATTGTTACAGGACCCATCGAAGGAGCGGAATCTCAAATGGAAACACAAGTTGCGTTTACAGTTGGTAGGGCCAAGTTCAGGGACACAACCAAAGTTGGCATTGCTTGAACGTACATCGTTGATTGACAAGGCACGGCGGAAGGTGGTATCTGTAAGTAAAAGCTTTTTATTAGTGAAATTTGGTACTATAGACCTATATAACAAACTTCTCAAAAAATTGAAATTTGTTTGTTATAAGAAGTCTTTGTTATATAGAGTTTGTATACAGGAGTTCTATATTGAACATTCTCTTAAAAAAGCTTTAATTCTAACTTTTTTCTACAGTGAAACTTCAAAATACCGTACCCTCGTTAGTAGCGATAAAAGTACAATCTTCTTTTTCAAACTCTCCATTCCTGTTGTTGACAACGTCTCCTTTGCAAGATTTACAGGACTTGGCACAATGCACCAACATCCACACTTTGTTCGTCTCACATTCATTAATCGAGGCCCAGAACGAACACAAACGATGCCGATCAATGCAGATGGTCGACCCTATAACAATAAACTTTAGTTGACAAAGGACAAAAACGGCCCACACAGAACGTTCGGGTGCTTTAAAAAGTTAGTTTTTTAGTTTTTCAAAGTTTTTAATTTCGGTTTTTAAAAAGTCTTAGAAATTACTCACAATTAAGAACTTTTTAATTAAAAAGTCTAAAATTGTAGTCATTTAAAAATTTTTTACCAGAAATTACAATTTTTAGCAGAGATATAGAAAAAATAGTTTTAAAAGCTTTAAATTATTAAAAAAATAAATTAAAATTTTTTCAAATAATTCTTTTTATATAATTTTTAACTCGACCTTACTTTCATAGTCCTATAATCGCAAGCCAAATTTTTTAAGCTTGACCCGTTTGGACTTTGGCTGAAAGCTTTTTGGCTTTATCCTAGTGCCGGGCTAAACCATGTCGGGCCTACACAGTCCGTATCTCATCCCTAGTTCCCTTAATACACCTACAAGTTTAAAGCAAACCTTACCATTGCACTTGTCACAAGATATTTTGCAGTTGATCGCCATCCAATCCTTGTTGCTCTCACATTCTCCAATCGAGGACCAGAACTTGCACAGGTCGTGTTTGTCAGCACATACTCCAGGAGCATCCGTGTTCTTGATCAAGTCTTTTCTCTGTCAGCATTCGACAGTTGTGTAGCTGTTTCTGCAGATTTTTCCGTCGCTGTCTTTGTTGTTGAAGTTGCGGTCGTTGTTGTGGCTTTAGTAGTTGTTGTTGTAGTAGATTCAGTAGTTGTTGGTTCTACTACGATTACTGTCGTATCTTCTGGCTCTTCTTCTGTTACTGGTTGGAAGGGAAGAGCGGTTGGTTCGGCCGAAAACTCTTCGTCCAATGAGTTTGTGTCAGCACTTACTTAAAATATTAGTTTATGTATAACAATTTTTAAAACCTTAAAATAAAAAAAAAATTTTAAATCTAAATTTTTTTTTCATTTTCAATTTTTTCGAAATTCAAAAACCTTTTAAAATTTAATGTGTTTGTTTTGTCAATTCAAAAACTAGTTTCAATTCACTTTTGACCTTATCCCTCTTTGCGGAAAGCTGCTTTCACGGCTTCTAAACTGCGATTACATCTATCGGTTTATTTACACATGAAGTAATGTAAATATAGAAGATCGCGATTTAGATAGCAATTGAAAATTTTAAAAGGAAATGCTTACCATTTATTGTCAATAATGCTAACCACAGTATTGTTGTTGACAACCGCGGAAGCCGCATCTTGTCTGAAATGAGTTAAAAAGTTAAATTTGTAAAATTCAGTTAAGTTCAAGATTGATAAGCGCACAATATAAAAAGGCTATAACAAAAAATTGTCAATTTTATAACTTTACTTTTTCGCAATTAAAATAATTTGAATATAAAGTGCCGACATAAAGAAGCCGCCATACGTTTCCTGTAATTTCTACTAAAAAATGGTGGGTTCTTTATGTTGGCGCCTAATATAACACAATACATTTAGAAATTACAGAGGAAAGTCTTTAGTATGACACTCGATAGGTGGACCCTCTCTTTATAAAGGTCAGCTTTTCAACCGTTCTATGTACAGCTAAACCCCTTCAGCATGACACTCAAGGGATGGGTTCAACCCTGTTCTTCCAAAAAATTCACACTGTAAGGTACTTTTTGTTAGTGGTTCTTTTACAAAACGGCGGTCAAGAAGATGTCATGATAAAGAAAATGTCACACTATTGAAAGTCATACTAAAGAGTAGTAAAACCCCTACCAAAACTATAGTAGAACACTTATCAAAAAGTACCTGAGTAGTGTGACACTATAGTGATAAGGACAGATTTGAAACAGTTTTTTTGAGCGTCATACTCAAAGAACAGGGGTTTAACTGTATAAAATTTAAAAAATAATGCCACAAATGCAGAACCAAAGACTAAAATTTTGACCAGAAAGAGAAGATAAGCAACATTTTTTTTGCCAACAACTACATTTTAAAAAACTGAATAACTGTCAGCATTATCTAAATTTTACTATATAGCACCCAGAAAAATAAGCAGTCAGCTTGAATGAGGCAATGTCAGATCATATAAAACGGGCTGGACATTAATAAAATATTTTTTTGTTTTGTTTGATAATAATCAGTACTATCAAAAAGAAGAAAATACTTGAAAAGATGCCTCTTAAACGTGAATGGATCTATGCCATTTTTTATCGTCAGTTGCTTATAAAAAAATTCAATATAAGTATTATTAAAAAAACTTAAAATTGCTGATAATGAAGGCCCATACTATCATAATCAGCATTTTTTCAAAAAAATTTTTAGGCCTTTTATCATCAGATGCCTACACAAATCTAGAAAAAATCAAAAAGTTGTAAAAAATCCGCCAATATTTACGTCCCAACCCAGTAGCACTGATAACAACACCCTCATACGTAAACATGTCACCAGAAGTGTCACCACCCAAATTGAAGATTGATAACCGCCCCAGCCGAACCTCAATTAACCTTTACCCACCTTAATTGAATGGACAAAAACATTTTTGGGGTGGGAACAAAAAAAAACGAGAATACGTCGAGAACAAGCTTCATCGACGAATTTAATCGATTTACGAAATTCCGCGAAGTTCAACCCCCCTCAGCTCAACATAACAAACAAATAGGCAGACAAAAAATAATTGTTGGATAACTGATTGATGGACTGTTCCTTTGGAAACAATCAAATTATGAACGGAATCTCGATGTAACGTGTTCCACGGTACAATGTTCGGAATCTGGGTGGTATCGAGGAATGTCATAACTCGAGATGACATATTGAACATAACAAGAGTTTTCAAATTTAAAATAATTTATATTTTAAAAGTTACAAAGTTCTTGAAACATCCTGCATTTAGTTCCGGCTCTAGCCTCTGCTACGTCTTTTTAAAATTTTCGATTTGGCTTAAATAAAATCTTTGCCTCTAGTTCCGGCTTTGCCTTCTGCCTTATTTTAGTTTTGACTCCAAAGGTCTTTAGAACTGAAATTACAGAACTGTTACAGAATTACATTTAGTACTATTACAGTTTATGACATCCACATCTAAACATTGAATTAAAAAGTAAAGAAAATGGATTCTTAAAAATTAAAAAAAGTCAATTTTGACCTTATCTTTAGAAAACTATGTATGTAGTTGTAAACAGTGATTTAAAGGTTGCTCGTTATACAGAAAATTTGCTACAGGAGAGTGTGTTATAGAGTTCAAGTACAAAAGACGAAATTAACTCATGATAACAAACATCAGTTGTAAGCAAGACGCATCTTTATCCTATTGATTTCCAGAAACTCCGTTTAAAAAATGGCCTATACGACCATATCTTTCAAATTAACAATATTTTATCAGAGTTTCTTATATTACGTCTGCTAGCATCTTTACAAATAAAATTTAGACATACATACATCTAGATTTGAAAACCGGCTCACTAAGCACAAGTCGGCCTTTTACAGGACTATGTACAACAAAAATCTATTTGAAACATTATCATGTAACTTTCAAAGTCTAAGCACCTTACTGTATTATTTTCTACTATTACAGTCTTTAACTACTATGCTGTATTTTTGATTATCAAATAGAATTTTATACTATTGTGTAGCATTTTCTACTACCATGTACTATTTTAGACTATCCTATAGTATTCAACAAAACTACTTCGTAACGAACAACGTTTTTTCATGCAATAAAAATGTCGTTTCTCGAAATGTCTTTGAAACGCGTATATTGTCGTAAAAACAAGCAACAAAGATCAACGACATCCGCGATTGTGGGTTAATTTAAAGTTGCATTGTTTCAAATAGGCCCATTAGAATCCCAACTTCCCGCCGACCTTGAGCCAAGTTATAATTTCGAAAACAATTAGGAATAATTGCGCGGGTCACACCCATAAAAAACCGTTTGTCGTTTAAACCAGCTTAAGAATAAAAGTGAAACAGCCGCATCGTAAGTATATATCGTCATATTTGCGAGGTTATTAGATAAGGTGGCGAGCTGGAACAAGGCGTTTAAGTTTCTTCAAATTGCGGGCTTGCTAAAGGCTTTGGATTAAACTATAGCGTAGTTATAGTTGGTGATAAGAAGTTAGATATATAATTTTCAAACAAGTAGTAGTAATCTTATAGCAACTCGGTTTCTTAGCCACACTGAATTCCGACTACGCCTGAAGTCTTAAGCACGTTAGCACAACTTGATTGTTCAAGAAACAGGATCATCTAAATAGGGCCCAACTGGGAACAATGACAATGAATTGCTCTGACGGTCATCCACAAACCCTCATCATTCCTCATCTCGTACCCAATATATCTTGCTTTGAAAAAAAATTTTTGAAAATTCTCCTTTCTGCTTTGCCATTTACCGCCCTAGCCAGTCAGTAGACCAGCACTCTCTCGCGCGATCCTCAACCTTCAAGTTCGGACATTGCCGATATGGTTCGGTCAAGTAGGATCGACCTGGAGTTGGAGTTTAGGGTTTCACTGAGTGTTCAAACTGGCGGTAAAACAAAATGGAGGGACTGTTCTGAATGAGCCCCAAAAATGTTTTGAGAAGTTCATAAGTATAAAAACAGTACAAATTTTAAACGACCATAACTCGGTCGAATCAGAGGTTTATCAACTTTTAAAAGCAGATTCAAAATCAAGACAATCTCTGAATCTTTGTGAGCTATATCGCATGTCTAGGTACACTTTTTGGCGCTTTTCTTATTAGACTTGAACTCTATAAACTGAGATTTCCTAAAGCAAGATCTCCTTACTACCGTCATTGCAGTAAAAACACTCTAGTTATAGTCAACAGAGTATATGCCACTCAATTCTGAAGTAAGTTTTTGCTGATCAACATAAAAAAAACTTTTCATTATAATATAAATTTAAAAATAAACAAAAAAATAACTGGCACAGTGAAAACCGCCATCACCCATTGAGGAGTAGACTTTAATTAGCATATCATTCACCAACGACGCCAATAAATCACGGTGAATCTTCCTCGGAATCGCCTTATAAGAAGATTAATGAGCGTGAATCCAGTTTCAAACACTGAACCCTCAACTCATGCCCTCGGGGTTTGCACTTTTTAGGGTCAGAAAAAACTTGAAAAGCTTAAAAGACAAAGTTGTATGACTTTCTAGCAAGAAGTATTCATATAGTGTTCAAAATATATACAATGTCATACGCAAGTTCGTCAAGCAGAAAAGTATTTAACCTGCCCCATTTTGAACCAGCTCAACACTTTTATATAAGTTCTTTGTACCAACAATAGTACCTATAAAAAATTTCAGCTTTCGCTTTTGAGTTTAAAAATTTAAGTATTTGAATTTCTCGTCAATTGTGCAAATTTGGCATTGTGTTGCAAGTACATCTACGCTTACAAATTTACAAATGTAGTTTCATTTAAAAGTTTTTTACTAGTATATCAAAGAAAAATGATTAAAAGTCAAAAAAATGACAAAATTATAAGCTTGAAACACAATGTCAATTTGGCAGGAAATTCAAAACTTAATTTTTGATTTCGATTTTCTTGATATTGACTATAAAGCGCGGTTCAGTACTTTGCTGAATATCGAAAGAAGACGACTTTGGTCGTTTTACAGATCAAAAGCCAATGCTTTTGACACAACCAAGGAGTCTACATTACGCCAATCCTATGTCGAACACTAGTGTTTTCTTGTTACTACAATGACAATAAAATGAACAACTGAGATTAAAAACCACGAGAAACAACTGAAATCTCAAAAGCAATCGCAAAATGTCACTTTTTAATTTGTGAAAAGCAATGTTTTAATAAACCGGGTAAGTCAAGAGGGTAATCTTCCCTGTTAGAATCTTTCTTCCTGACATGTAGTTACTAATCGCCAAAAAAAAACAAAAACCGGATCGGAAGAGCTTCTTTTCAAGTTTGAAAACAGCGACGAAACGATTCTGAATAGAGAAAGTTTTTAAGAAACAAGTGTCATCCAGCGCTTACATGAGTATTGCATAATGCTTTGTATTCTTACAGGAAGTGTGGAATACTGTAGCACACGTAGGTAATGATAGTCACAGAAAGCTTGAGTCATAGTCAACTTTATAACCTTAAGGTGGTTTTGTAAGAAGCCTTGCAATATGTACCCTACCCTACCCTACCCTACCCTACCCTACCCGACCCTACCCGACCCTACCCGACCCTACCCGACCCTACCCGACCCTACCCGACCCTACCCGACCCTACCCGACCCTACCCGACCCTACCCGACCCTACCCGACCCTA